GGAACCCCCGAATCCCGACCTGCCAAATTGATGCATCATGGATCGATCATGGCAGCGTTAGTGGCTTAGGGTGGAGTCTTAAGGATCAAATGGGCTATGAATGGGTCGGACAACGGGCGTGCAGGAGAAGCCGTTCAGCTCTGCATGCAGAGATGGAAGGTCTACTTTGGGCAGTCTCATGTATGAGAGACTTGCGGATCAACTCGGTGAGAATTGAGACGGACTGCGCGGATCTAGTAGACATGTCTACTAATCCGGAGGAATGGCCAACTTTCACAACAGAGATCGAGAGGCTTAAGAGACTACAGGAGGACTTTGAGGATATGAGGCTTTCTCATATTCCTCGAAGTAGGAATGGTCGAGCGGATGGATTAGCTAAAGAGGCGAGAAGAAAAGGATCTACTTTTTCCCATATAGATCAGACTAGGACAGACGGAGATGCTCCTAGGAGGATCGACTCGTCTGCTCACCACTTGATCTAGCTTTAGATGGGCGGCTGACAAAAAAAAAAAAAAAAAAAAAAANGAGGCTTTCTCATATTCCTCGAAGTAGGAATGGTCGAGCGGATGGATTAGCTAAAGAGGCGAGAAGAAAAGGATCTACTTTTTCCCATATAGATCAGACTAGGACAGACGGAGATGCTCCTAGGAGGATCGACTCGTCTGCTCACCACTTGATCTAGCTTTAGATGGGCGGCTGACAAAAAAAAAAAAAAAAAAAAAAAAAAAAAAAAAAAAAAAAAAAAAAAAAAAAAAAAAAAAAAAAAAAAAAAAAAAAAAAAAAAAAAAAAAAAAAAAAAAAAAAAAAAAAAAAAGCAAAACGAAGCTAAGCTGCATGTTGAACAGTTTTCAACTCATGGAAAAGGGTAAAAATAAAACGCTAGAGAGAGGGGTCGAACCTCTGACCTTGTGGCTAACAGCCACACGCTCTAACCAACTGAGCTACTCCAGCTACGATTGTTATATTTATAAATCAGTTAGTCATATAAAGAAGATAAGATCTGGAAACCGATGAGTTGATAATACAGACAGACAACAATTAGCAATATACCAACAACCACTGAATATTTTTAAAATTAATTTTGTAACATGACATGGTAGTTATACGGACATAAAAATATAATAGAATATATAAAGGAAACAATGGGTTTGTAGATAAGTTACTAGAAGGTAGGAGACCGTTGCTTTTGATCAAAGTGTTGTTTCCTATACTCTCACTGTGCACGGTAAATTGTATATATACTGAATTTGTTCTAAAACTCTCTATCTATACTATTAAATCAAAATCTCTTCTATAATTATGCCCTTATTTATTTTACAATTACAATGTCATACCATTAATATTTAATTTTAATATAAACTAGATTTTGACCTGCGCTACCGCGCAGGTGTTTGTTTTCGTGTATAGTTAATTATATAAACATTTTGTTTTCACTTGTAAATTGTTATATATTATAGTAATCACATATTTACGATATGTATAGTAAATGTTTTTCAAACATAATAATATTATATAATACGTGTTTTAATCAAATAGATTGTTTCCAATTTTTTTATATTATACATGTTTTTCAAACATGTGTTTGTTTCTTCTTCTATATTTTATTATTTGTTAGATTAATATTTTATTTTTAGATAAAGTAATATAAATAGAGCTTGATTAAATATTAGTATACTTTAATTTTCAAAGATAATATAAACTTCGAAGAAATTTTTGCTAAAAATTAAACTTATAGCTTCATAAATTAATATTATAAAGAATTTTATTAAAA